GCGGCGGTTATTAATGGCTATTTAAAATTTTGACAGCGGTTGACGTTTAAAATATACATCGGAAAAACGGTTTGGTGATTTCCGTTCGACGGACAGTCAATTAAAGACATTAATTTTAGAAACACCTAAAAAGCGTTTGCATTAATTGCCATTTGTTACCCTATTTAAAAAATTGAAGCCCCCTTTGACGCTTGTCATACATTCATAATCGCCAAACACACTACTTATCCGACTCTTGCCTCTTTAAATATTCGTTAGAAGTCTAATCTGTCATCATCCATGACATAACGCACACATCTCTCCCCTGCGCCTGCGGGCACACATTTAAATTGACTTCATGACTAACACATCAATTTACAATCTTCTCGATGTAGATCATCTGCATAACAATAATTCATTTCGCTTTGCGAAACAAACAAAAAAATACAGTTAAGGCGAACCTCTCACGAGCCGCCACTGAGTCATTCATAAAATCCTAATAAATTCCGTGCTTTTTAAACATGATAAATGATAGAAAGGAATGCAATTATGTTTAACAGTCGGCCATAAAACGTTCAATTTGTGAAAACAAAGCACCGAAACACGTGGAAAATCGGGAACGAATGTCGTAGTGTTGTTCGGGAAAGTTCGGCGGCTACGACAACTTTTAAACGGCAGGTGGTAAAAATGCTACTGTGGGAAAAGGCACCCCTCGTTTTGTCTATTTTCGTACGTGCTTTTATACCTACTAAGGCGGTGAAGTCTGGTTCACACCCGAGCAGAAAATGTACCATGTCGGATCGTGATTCTGCGGTTTCGATTTCAATACTACGAGTAGTGTGTTAATAACACACATACGTGATAAATGTCAACAAGCTAAAGCACAAGATGACGGTAAATATTGAGGCGAAACCGCATTTTACGTTATTAAAGTGTTAATTTTCGTCTAATATTTACATGTAGTATGCACTTTACAAATATAATTAAACGGGGATTTGAATTAATGTTTAATTTAAAACTAAATGTCACCTTTTGCACGATAAACGACGCATATCTTGGTGATTCACACATTTTCTCACTACTGTGTGACCTTGAAAACTGCGGGATATAAAGCAAATTAAACTAAAAAAATCCCAAATGTAAAAAAATGTTTTTAATACCAGAGCGTGAGCAAATTTTTGAATTTTATTTTTATTTTAATTTATTCGGGTTATCATAAAAAAAATTAGTTTGCAAAATTACATGTTACAGTTTTTCGATTTGCATTTTTGAATCTTTAATTTTTAAAATTTTCGGTTTCTGAATTTTTTGTTTTTTATTTTTCATTTTACCGATTTTTGAATTTTCATTTTCTCGATTTTTTATTTCTTTCAATGTCTCGATTTTATAATTTTTCGTTTGTTCAATTTTTCAATCTTCGATTTTTTGGTTCCTCGATTTCCCAGCTTTCAAACTTAGCGATTTTTCAATTTTTGGATTTTCCCATTTCTTTAATTTCCAATATTTCGACTTTATAATACATATTTAATTTTTTTAACTATAAAGTTTCTCAATTTTTCAACTTCAAAGTTTCTTAAATTTTAATCTTTCGATTTTTCAACTTTCTGATTCCACAATTTTTCAAGCGCATGATATCCAATTTTTAGATTTTTCAGTTTATTTTCTCGTTTTTTCGTTGCCAAATTAAAAACTATAATTTTGCAAAATTTTTCAATTATTCGATTTACAAATCGTCAAATTAGCAATTTTTCATTTTTGGAACTTCCAGTTTCTCAATTTTTAATTTCTTATTTTTCAATTTTTTGTTTCCCAAATTTTTCAAGTATTTGATTTCTAGTTTTAATTTTCCAGATTTTTTACTTCCATTTTTTCAATTTAATACCACAATTTTTCGTTTTTTCATTTCCTTCAGTTTTTCAATTTTTCAAATTTTCAATCTTTGATTTTTCAATTCTTCGATTTTCCAACTTTGAAATTTTTCGATTTTGCAATTTTTGGATTTTCCGTTTTATTTAATTTTCATTTTTTCGATTTGCATTTCTTAATTTCCTATTTTTAAATTTTTCAGTTTTCATCTTATACTTTCTCATTTTTGATATTTCAATTTCACAATTTTACGTTACAATTTTTTGATTCCAAAGAAAAATCGAAAAATTAAAAATTATATTTTCGTTTATTGAATTTTTGAAATTTTCGATCTTTGATTTTTATTTTTGCAATTTTTGAATTTTTTGATTTCTTTAATTTCCGAATTTACAATTTTCATTTTCTCGATTTTGTACTTTCCCAATTTTTAAGTTTCGATATTTCAATTTTTCAAGTTCTTGATTCCCAATTTTTAGATTTTTCAGTTTTCATTTTATACTTTCTCATTTTTGATATTTCAATTTTACAATTTTACGTTACAATTTTTCGATTCCAAAGAAAAATCGAAAAATTAAAAATTATATTTTCCTTTATTCAATTTTAGAAATTTTCAATCTTTGATTTTTTATTTTTGCAATTTTTGAGTTTCTCGGGTTTTTGATTTCTTTAATTTTCGAATTTACAATTTTCATTTTCTTGATTTTGTACTTTTTCAATTTTTCAGTTTTCATTTTATACTTTCTCGTTTTTTCATTCTTGATAGTTCAATTTTACAAATTTGCAACGTTCCAATTTTTTATTCGAAAAGTTGAAAATTGAGAAGTCACAAAATAAAAATTATAATTTTGCAATATTGCAGTTTTTCAGCTCCTCAACTTAAAAATTTTTCGATTTTTAGATTTACAAATCTTCAATTTAGCAATTTTTCGGTATTACGATTTTTCATTTTTTGAACTTTTTTGTTTCCCAAATTTTTCAAGCATTTGATTTCTGTTTTTCATTTTCCAGATTTTTTACTTCCATTTTTTCAATTTAATACCACAATTTTTCGTTTTTTCATTTCCTTCAATTTTTCAAATTTTCAATCTTTGATTTTTCAATTCATAGATTTTCCAACTTTGAAATTTTTCGATTTTGCAATTTTTGGATTTATTTAATTTTCATTTTTTCGATTTTAATTTCTTAATTTCCTATTTTTAAATTTTTCAGTTTTCATCTTATACTTTCTCATTTTTGATATTTCAATTTTACAATTTTACGTCACAATTTTTAGATTTTTCAGTTTTCATTTTATATTTTCTCGTTTTTTCATTCTTGATAGTTCAATTTTACAAATTGCAACGTTCCAATTTTTTATTCGAAAAGTTGAAAAATTGAGAAGTCGCAAAATTATAAATTATAATATTGCAATATTGCAGCTTTTCAGTTCCCCGACTTAAAAATTTATCAAAATTTCGATTTACAAATCTTCAATTTAGCAATTTTTCGATATTACAATTTTTCATTTTTTGAGCTTCCAGTTTCTCAATTTTTAATTTTCCGATTTGTAAATATTTGTGTCTCAAATTTTTTTGGTACATATTTGATTTCTGTTTTTCATTTTCCCGATTTTTATTTTCATTTTCCCGATTTTTTCTTTTCATTTTCTCGATTTAGTATCACAATTCCTCGTTTTTTCATTTGCTTCAGTTTTTTCAATTTTTCAAATTTTCAATCTTCGATTTTTCAATTCCTCGATTTTCCAACTTTAAAATTTTTCGATTTTGCATTTTTGGATTTTTCGATTTACTTAATTTTCATTTCATTTTTTCGATTTTAAATTCTTGACTTCCTATTTTTAAATTTTTCAGTTTTTATTTTATACTTTCTCATTTTTGATATTTCAATTTTACAATTTTACGTAACAATTTTTTGATTCCAAAGAAAAATCGAAAATTATTCAATTTTTGAAATTTAATTTCCAAAATTTCGACTTTACAATTATCATTTTACTCGATGTTGTACTTTTTCCATTTTTAAGTTTCGATATTTCAATTTTTCAAGTTCTTGATTTCCAATTTTTAGATTTTCAAAGTTTTCATTTTGTACCTTTTTGTTATATGATGTTTGATTTTTCAACATTACAAGTTTGCACTTTTTCCATTTTTTTTTTATTCGACAAATTGAACATTCAAAAACCAAATAATAGGACATAACTGGAAAATTGAAAAACTGAAAAAGAAAAATTGCAATCCAAAAACTGAAGAAACGAAAAATTAAAACACTGAAAAACTAAAAATCGACAAACTTAAAAAATTGATGAATCGAAAAATTGGAAAGAAGAAAAACCCAAGCGAATCGAAAAAATTGAAAGCCAAAAAAAATTGTAAAAACGAAAAGTCAAAATTAGAAAGTAGAATAAGTGTAACCTTGAAAGATGGAAAAATTGAAAAGTTAATTATCGAGGAACTGGAAAAATTAAAAATCGAAAAATTAAAAAATCGAGAAACTCGAATATCTAAAACGAACAATTAAAAGATTTAAAATTGAAACATCCAAACAAAAAGTTGCAAAATCTAATTGAAGAAAAAAAAATTGAAAAATCGTAAATCGAAAAATTGCGAAATTGAAAAACTGGAAAATTTAAAGTTAAAAACTCGAAAGGTTGCAAATCGAAAAGCAGAAGAAACAAAAAATTATAATAATTAAAATTGAAATTGAATAAGAATTGGGGAATTGAAAAATTCAAGTCAAAAAAGCTTATTGCGTCACTGGTTTTTACTCTATAGAGGTATCAGGAAAAAAAATCGCAAACAAATGTTATAATTAAAAAAAAAAACAAACATGGAACAAAACAAGTTTGATAAGATATTTTGTAATTTTTTGAATATTTTAACTAAGCAAACACGCTGGCACCATTTTTCCTTTGAAGAAAATTCCAAAGGTTTCACTTTTTATTTCGCTACTTTGAATTTAAAACAAGTTTCTTTCGTAACGTTATAAATTCATAATTACGTTTTTACATTATTCTTTCCGCCGAAAACAACGCCCACCATTCGAATTTTTTAAGCCCAACTTACACATTTAAAAACTCAGCAACCCAACCAGCACCTGGTCAAACTTCTCCGTCTCCTACACCCCCTAATCATCTATTTTTAACCAATCAACCGTCTTACCGGGAGTGTTGAGTTCCGGTGCGATAAGGACGCTCAGATCTGGTTCCTCTCCGTACCAGAATATCCACAGTTCCTTCGACGTCGACAAGCTGAGGGGTGGCGGCGGCGGCGGCCCCGGTTCGAACATATCGGTGCTTCGGGGCGTCGAAACGCGCCGCCAAACGCACAGGATGTCGGCGGCGAGGCATTTGGCGTAGCTACGGAGCACCGGGTCGTCGAGGAGCTCGCCGCCGCAGTGGCCGGGGGCGGCACCACCACCCAGCTCGCAGTAGACCAGCTTACGCCATTTGATGCCCGAGAGCTCCGTCTGAAACAAACCACACAAATTATAATAAAGCGTGCTCGCCCGAGCTGCGGCTGTGTAAGCGCGCCTTTACGGTAGGGGAAAGCGGGGAAATGGGAGCTTCTGTTACGAAAGCGTGGCGTTTTGCAACGTTACGGTGGGTGCGTAAGTCGATTCCACCAAGGTCTCACGATTGCATCCCCTCCATGGATTCCGTGTTTACGGTGTATTTATAACGTGGCATATTGTAACGGGAAAAACGATTTTTTTTTTGGTGGCGATCCAAATTGTGTACGTTTTATTCGATAGAGGAGGAAGGATCATTAATCATCGCCGTCTCGATGAGTACGAATTTGCTTTAGCTCACAATTGAACCGTTCATGAAGTATGAATAGGTCAACGACATCCGGAAGTAATCACAGTTAACTGGGCAACGAAGAAAGCTACTCTATTGTCTTCATCACCTTGTTTCTGGTGAAGAAATCGACGATGGGACTACTTAGATCGACTTTTAATTTTAAATTATTGTGGAGTTTTTTCTTGTTTACGAAAATGTACAATTGTGTCGTGATTGATCGACTGACCTTGCACATGGACGTGGAAATTTTATGCACTTTTTCTGAAATGTGTGTCAGACTAACTAAACTAAATTCAAGGTCTAAAACTTGAGCTCGAGAAGTTTAAAAAGTCCGTAACTACCGCCTAATTGACAATATAACCCGAGCGTTTAACGTCCTTTTAAGCACGGTCATGTTATATTCAAGCCGGTAAATCTCTTAAAACTCAAATGAAAAAGTAAAAGATTCATGCCAAATAAAGTGTCACGTTACACATTTCACGTGACGTCAGCGATATTTTGAAGGAGATGAATAAATCAATTTTATTAACGGAAACGGGGGACCGACTATCGCGCATTCCACACTAGAACACATCTTTCTCCGTCAATTTGGAAGCAAAAACCCTAGATTCCTTTGAAAACCACAAGATAACATCTATTAATCCATCCCTAACCCTGGAACCAATCCAAGCCCATTCAAATACTCAACAATACGTCAAATTATCTGATCAACCACCTTCACGTCAATCAGACGTTCCAAATAATTGTTGTGTGTATGTCAATCGTCAGATAGTAGAGATAACCCGTCACAACGTAGGTGGCACAGGTGATCCGATCGTGATACGTTCGGTTCGGTCTTCGGGCAATCCAAACGGTAATTCGATAGCGAGTGGTCCGACTTGACTTTTCACCGACTCTTGACTCCGAGTACCCCCTTATCGCACCTTCAGATTAAATTAAATTGTGTTACGTACGTTTACAATGCTTTGGAACAATAAAAACGCGAGATAACACCCAAATTGAGGAAAATCGGGCGATTACGTATCGCTTATCGCGTTATCTACTTGATGCACTCCTGCCAGCCATCCCAACGATATTTACTCTTCAATCTCTAGTGTCTAATTTAATTATAATAACCACCATCTTGGGTGTATTCTTCTACTGACGGGGTCACGCAAGGATCAAATCTTGGGCCTATTCTCTTCAACACATTTGTTAAAGATATTCCGAAGGTCAGTAATTTTAGACAAAATCACTACATTGAAATACACATTAGAAAAAACAAAGAATGGAATGGTTTGGAAAGGGCACAAATCCAAGGAATTCGGAGTAGAATGAGGTCTCAGACAAGGTGACCTGCTATCGACTGTACTGTTTAACTTGGTGCTAGAGGTGATTACTAGAGAGAGTAAAGTTAGGACTGAAAAAGTTTATTTGGACAGAACTTCTTTTGACTTTCATTTTTTTTTTTTAATGATAAAAATTGGTGATACGTCATTTTGCATTAATACAAACGCATTATTCTGCGAAACCATGAACTCAGAACAGGAAGCAGAAACGGCCGACGGTCACAATTTATTATTGTTTCTGCTTGTTTGATAACTTTCACAATTTTCTGAATGCAAAAAAAATTCTTAGCATATTTGTAATTAATGAAAAAATGAGATTTTCTTAAAACAAAAAAATTGCTACAAGGTTATTAACCAACAAAAACAGAACAGATCCAAGAGGGACAAGAATGTAGATTTGAAAAGGTTAAAAAACGAAAATGAAGAAGTACAGGAAGTGAGAAGATCTATATATGAAACCTCAAATAACTATATATACCGGGTGATCTTTTTGAATTTCGATCTAGTTAACCAAGAATTTGTGAACAGAACAAATTCGGCCGAAAAGTAGGTCGTAATTTGACACAATTTGTAATCTTAAAAAATTAGTCGAAGATTATTTCGGCACAAATTCACGCCTGAAATATAAGTCAAAATCCCGGTTTTTTTAAAAATTAAAAAATAACAATACGAAATATATTTGACCAACTGGAAAAAATAGCCCCTCAGCAATAATTACATGCTTAACTACAAGTGCTTATGTTTATACATCGGAAGAATGTCACGTAGAAATTTCTTTGATTTTAATGAATTTGTCCCTTAATAACAAAGACGTGCATATTCTCAAATTCTCAAAGAAATTAAGTGACTCGTTCTTAACTTTACCAATAAAAAATTAGATAGTGATTCATTTTAGGAAATTTATTTTATCTAATAAAAATAAGGAGGTTTGTACCGAACGTGCGACCACAAGTCCCGGTGGCAAAATATGTACAAAATTTGACAACAATCGGTCCAGTAGTTTCGAAGATTATCCGGGTAATAAAAATCGACACAGACAGACAGATGGAAACGGGAGATCACGTTTCATACTCTCAGGGTCTTGAAACGTCGAGAAAACATGAAACTGGGAAGTCGCCCGATGAACTCGATTACTATACTTCCTTAGCTTACGCCCAGGAAGTAAAAATTATAAAATTTTAATAAATGAAAAAATGAAAAGAAAAAAATTGTGATTAGGTCTGTTCTTAAAAATGCGCAATGTTGTGATAAATTCGCAATTTCACAACATATTCTAAATATAGGTTGTCTGTAGCTGAACGCTGAAAACTAGGTTATGTTACTAACTCCTGTTCATGTTGAAACTTAACAATTTATTTCTTAGTAAATCAAATTTACATGACTAAATACATGCAGCGATTATGGAAAAATAATTCCGGCGCAACTTAACTGGATTCTCAACATTCACTGGACTCGACTCGTTGATTAAATAATGCTCGTTCCCGAAAGTGGCCTCTATTTAAACCGATGGTTCCTTCTAGAGATTCCGTGATCGAGGTCTTTCTGGAATACCCATCGCGACTTCCGCTTCCAGACTTTTCTTTAGCGAACGCCGCTCGGCCGCCGTCACCAACGATGAATCACCCATCATCGCCACACATACTAGAAAACCCATAGGCGTGGTACCGGAGCGACGTATGGGTTTATTTCGTAACAATATTATGTGCGCTCAGACATCTTATTATTTAATCTAATACCTAATGAATAAGTTGTAGTCTTAATTTTGAACAAAACCAAGATAATTATCCGAATATCGTAAGCACTGTAGATTCCAATAAGGATAGTTAAAGGAAAAATTAATTATGCAAGTGGATTTTTTAATTTTTAACAAAACGTCAGCCGACGGCTGCTCTTTATGTAGGTGGCTGACTGGCTGCAAGTCATAAATTACTGGATCTCTAAAACCAAATTAAAAACAAATACATTTCATTTTCGTTTACATTTAGGCCACAAGGAGCCCCTTAATTTGGAGGCCCTGATGCTCCAAAATCCTTATAAATCTGCCTCTGGCCGGACGCCGCACAAGTACGGGCAATGTACATTTAGAGCAGGTAACCAACGGGAAAAATGGCCTCTCAGCAACATGTATAACTTGAAATGTTCATGTTTATATACTCAGTGACATGGAAATCAGTACACCCAGTAACAGTAAGCATATTTTAATAATTTTTTATACACGTGGTTACTAGGACAATTGAAGTAAATGATCAAAATTTGAAATGATTCAAAAACATTACGTCTTGATGGTCCCGGACCAAAATTTTCGAAAAATTCAGTTTGAAATGACATTTTTTCAAATAATAAAAATTGTCAATTTTCATTTTATCAGTTCTGGAAAAATTATTGGAATTTTTGATGATATGAAGCCCAAAGTTGTAATCTATAAGAACCAGTTGAAATCTACAAGAAAATGTCTTTGAGTAATTTTCAATTCATGCTCGAAAAACGCTGAAAAAATTTATACAGCGGACGAGGATATTGAAAATTTTAAGTTTTTGAAAAATTGCGTAAAAATACTCAAGAGATTTTGGGATATAAATCTCGACAGGTTATTTGAAAAACAGAAAGTATTAATACCCCCGGACCAAAATTTTTGAAAAATTTGGTTTCAAAATGAATTTTTGCCTCGAAAATTGTCAATTTTTCATTTGATCAATTCTGGTAAAATTGTTGGATTTTTCGAAAAAATGGAACCGAAAATAATTTCCCAAACTGGAAAAATGGAAAAATCGAACGATTAAAAATTTAGAACTTTAAAAATCGAAAAAGGGCAAAATCAAGAAGAAAACGAAAATACTGTAAAATCCAAATATTGAAATTGAAAATTTAAAAATTGGAACACAGAGGGGAATTGAAAAATCAAAAATAAAAATTTTGAAAAATTGAATAAACGAAAAATTATAAAATCGAAAGAAACATTTAAAAAATAAAGGAAATGAAAAAACGGGAAAATGATAATAAAAAAATTGGGAAAAGGAAAAATAAAAACCAAGAACTTTAAAAATTAGGTCACCGAAAATTGAAAACTGTTTTCGCTTTTAACGTTTCTCAATTTTTAATCTTTCGATTTTTGAATTTTTAGTTTCTTCAATTTTCCAAGCTCACGACTTCCAATGTTTGGATTTTTCAGTTTTCACTTTATACTTCCTCTTTTTTTCATTTTTGATACTTCAACTTTACAATTTTCGATTTTTTTGATTCAGAAAGTTGAAAACTGAGAAATCGAGAAACTGAAAAATCGAAAAATTGCGAAATCAAAAAACCGAAAAAACGAAAAATTGAAACATTGGAAAACAAAT